CTAGACACCAGTGTAAATTACACGAGGAACGTCACCAAAGCTTACACCACTTTACACTTTATGCATAGGCAGCTGGGAGCTCTTACTCCTGAACTATTCCTAACGTTGTATACGACATACGTGAGGCCACTCCTTGAGGTGCATAATATCATTGCTCCTCCGCCACTCAAAAGGGATGCTAACATGCTAGAAAGTGTCCAGAGACGAGCGACAAAATGGGTGATTGGCCTCCGCAACAAATCATATGAGGGAAGACTGAAGAAATTAAGTCTTTTCACACTTAGTTACCGTAGTCACAGGGGAGACCTCATCACCGTCTATAAGATCTTAAATGACCAGGCCCACCCTAATAAGAGCATCCTACCATTAAGTGATTATAGGCTTCCACGAGGTAACCCGCTAAGGATAGCACACCAGAGACCAAGGACTCGAGTGCGTTCACATTTCTTCTCGCTTCGAGTTTGCCGTCTCTGGAACGCTTTACCGGCGGCCGTAACTACAGCTCCATCTGTGGAGACTTTTAAGCGGAAGCTGGACAATCATGCAGAAATGCATGGTTTGTGTCTCAATGGCTTACCCTCTTAAAATTTGAAACCACATTGTCAATGGATAAGCATACAAGCTAAATCCCCACGACCCGTCCTGTCTTCTCCCACTGTACCGACTACTCTATCTTTTCTTTCTTTCTTCATTATTTCACCTTTATTATTTCACTTATCTCAACCTATATTATCTACACTACAACCTATCATTATTATTATTATTCTACTTTTATGACTATACCGAATGACCAACGGGTGTTAGGTCAAACTCCATTCACGGCAGCAGCTGAGTCCTAACATACTGCACACTACAAACCACAATCTTGACCAATCCTCGCACCACTCCTCTTGGAGTCTACCAGAGCTAAAGCAGTCGAGTGGCGGGATTTACTACGCATAAGTTCACCGAAGATCTGGAACCTCTACCTTACAATCAAGAAGCGAGCTCAAAGAAATCACTGGTTTATACTAGCTCGTAATCAGGATATTGGATATTGGATACAACAGCTTGCTATATAACAATGCCACATGTCAGGTGATCGAAGTGCATACAGGAGCAAGACAAGCAAGCTGGCTGCGTTTTATCACCGATGATATTCTTAATTGTGGTGGAGTGGATTATGCGCCAGACTGTTGGGGGCGAGGAGACAGGAATATGCTGGACGACTTATAAGAAGACTCTGGAAGATCTGAATTTCGCAGATGATATATGTCACTCAGTGTTGCCTGATCAGAAGGCATTATTATTAATTATTATTAATTTCAAAGAAATTTTCCCGGCACAGCAAACTCAACTCTTTATCCATTACATTTATAGCTTTTAGGAGTGCTCCTGTGAAGTAATTCAGTCTTTCGATTGTATATATATTTTTATCATTATTAAAAGACTAGGTAATCTACCAGTAAATTTTACGCTGATGTACACTGTCATCCGTAAAATGTCTTCGTAAATGATTTTTCGGTGTTTCGCAGAAAGTGCCGATATTTAAAATGTATTTTCGCAAAAATAACCTGAAATTATTTCACTTAGCTGCCCTAAAAGTACTTCAAAATTGCCCCGGAAAAATCAGTCTGATTCAACCTTTCGTTGGTTCTTATCATTTTTAAATTTTATCTTACTATTAATATTTAAAACTTTAAAACAATTATGAATTCCCTTTATGAATTTAGATAAAACAATGAGAAGACGTAATTTGTCTGAATCATGTGTAATATTGTATTTGCGCAACACATTTCGAACAATCTGATCACGCACACGAACTTATCATAGGAGTATACACATGTGAAATTAATAAAGAGTTAAGAAGAAGATAATTGTTTATCTTCTCTAAACATATTGCTTAGTTAACGGCTTGATGGGTCAAATAAAAAGATCTGTTCATCGAAAATCCACCTGGACAGGAGAGTATCTTAATTACCACGGTTTCTGCCTTATTCGGTAAACAAAGAGCCTTAGTGAGTGAGGTAGGTGCCTCTTCGGTAGAATCCAACCAATATGCACTGAAGACAGATACACTTGATGATGAGGAAGAAAGAAAGTTGACACAAACTCTGGTTGATAACAATTATCTAGACAAGCTCATCAGGAGATATAAAGTAGTCAGTGGAACACAAAGACCCACTCACTCTACAACTCGCCCCTAAGAAAGGCGTGTACATCAAGCTACCCTATATGGGGCATCATAGCAGCTTGATAACTAGACAAAGATTGAACGCCGTTGTTGTTGAAAAGACTTTTATGCAGTGAATATCACGATAATTGAGAATGTGAAGCCAATATATCCATTCATCTAAGCCCTTTCAGCATGCGAAAAATGATGTCACATTTCACTGTATCTACCAGTTTGAATGTACGTGTGGACACACACACACACGCATGCGTAGGAAGGACTCATCGATCTCTGCAAGTAAGGGCTGGCTTCAGAGCATAATCCTAAGTGGCTCCAGAAACAAATGGAATCTTCAGAACAGATTAACGGTGAGAACAGACGAAGACCTAGCTCCTCTATTGCGAAACATATTGTAGAGGAGACAGGACATAACATTTTTGTGCTACTTAGTGCTACTGCTCGGTTTGTTAAACACTTAACTAAGCCTGCCTTAACAGTAAACGGATGAGATGAATTAAAGTTTAAATATCTATTAGAATGCATTGGTTTTTTATTAACGCTAGTGTGCAGTTTACTTTCTTCTATTCGTTTTATTCGACAATCTAACATCGCAGCTAATTCTCCTTGTTCATTTTCTGATTCAAATGTGAATTTTATTGCCTTTACTAGTGAGTTTAGATGTGTCAAGAAACTAGAGAGAGAGATGTTCTGTTTTTAACACTGTGAAAGTGTCATCCACATATCTCCACCATATTTTTGGAGTAGGGTTAAACGTATTAAGGGCCATATTTTTTTAATGTTACTTTAATTTCGATTAATTTCCCTAAAGAAGTTCGGACCAGTTCGCCGAACGAAACGTTGGAATTACTTATTTCAAATTCACTGAGATATTTTTGAAATATAATGTTTACATATGTGTCTACTTCTCACTCGAGGCCAAATTATTTTCGAAGTGTTCGGTTAAATCTTGATCGCAGTTCATTTGAGTCATGGTATTGCTTTTGACGGCTTGCTAGATTCATGTCCAACCTGTCCAATTTTCTACAGGCCTACTAGTGAATAATTAATCAGGAGGTGGTTTTTTAGTACATCGACCTGGTACTTCATCCACAACTTGCTTTGATTAATGACGACATGCATGTAAAACATGCGCAGGATAATGACAACACCAACAATAAGGAATCTAAATCATCAGTAGTAGTTCCGTACAAGGAAGGAACATCGGAAACCACCTTAAGGCGGAGAATTCTTAACAATGCTGGCAGGAATAAAAGTGGCTGCTGGCATTCAAACCAACCACAAAATCAATCAGAAACAAGCTTTGTGGATTAAAGGATCAATCCTGTGGAGCCTTTAACCGAATAAACAATTTAGTTTATCTAACACCCTACCTGCGATGATTGTCAGGTCAAATACATAGGTCAAAGTAGTAGAACAGGGTCAGTCAGTGAGACAGACTAACCGAGCATAAAAACCTAGCAGCGAAATCTAGATTAGTTGACCCGAATAAGATAAGAAATCTAGAGAATAGTTCAGCAGCTATCGCAAGCACTACATGCAATTACACACACCCAAACACACAATAGTCTGGATGGGATAAGATGACAGTTTTAAAATCTAATACAACTAACAGGGTGGCGAGTGGGGAAGATTGATAACAGAAGCTTTGTTTATCGAATCAATTACAAATACATGTAATAGGAATGATTCAACACCTGTCCACACAGATATCTGGAGAATTCTACTACCCCAATGACGACGACAAATAGGAGAGGAGAAAGAAAACTATCAAACTCAAGTTTCGAAGTCATGTGATTATAATTGGTGATGTGTATGATTATGAACAGCAATAATGATGAATTGTGTTCAAAACAACTTTGTCATCCAGTAAATACTAATACTGTTTCACTCACTGACTGTGTGTGATGCATCCATCTAATAAACAAACTAATATGGAATTACTTACTACCACTACCAAACTGGAAATCTTCGTCACTCAGCATCAACAACAAAATCCGGATTTTCAATACAAACGTCAAGTCAGTTTTGCTATATGGATCAGAAACTTGGCGGGTCACAAAGAATATTTCCAACAGCCTGTTACAGACCTTTATCAACAGCTGTCTTCGTTCTATACTCAAGATCAGATGGCCGGAAAGAACAAGAACCAACAAGAAGCTATGGGGACAAACGAAACAAGAACCAATCGCTCAACAAATATGCAGGAGAAAGTGGAGATGGATTGGACACTCGCTGAGGAGGCCGCTGGGTGACATCGCGCGTCAGGCCATCGCTCGAGTGGAACCCGAAAGGGAAGCGACGAGTAGTGGGACGTCCAAGGGTGACATGGAGGAGATCGTGTGAAGAGGAGTTGAAACAGCATGGACTAACATGGATGCAAGTGAAAAGTACAGCAGAAGACAGAAGCAAGTGGAGGCGTGCAGTTGAAGCCCTATGTTCCACTAGGAACCCAAGGGAACAATAATAATAATAATACCACTACCACAGTGCCCAAGTTTTACACACATATATATTAAGACAGACAGTTTATTGCTTAATAGTGCACAAAAGTCTTTTAAAATTAAATATTTATTTTTATTCACAAAAAACAGGTATTTTTTCTAGGTAAATTCACTATTATCAAGTTTGTCTGTGTTTTATCTGAATAGAGTAATAAAGTAAGAGGAGATACAAAGGATTTTATTATCAATGCATTAAGTGGATTTGAAATCCTTCTAAAGGAATCTCTGAATATCAACTTTTTATATACATATATCAGATAAAACATAATCCATTAATCTAGACTTACAGTCTCACTCAAATACAGTAATTCTCAAGTATTCAGGCATCGTATTACACAGCTGTACCACCAATCATAAACACACAAAACAAAAACTTGAATAGTCCGCGGTAATCAAAAAGCAAAAGGAATTGATTTTTCACTTTCATCAAAATATTAGATGAAACGATTTCCCACATTCACTAGGAATTAATTATCATTGATCTCAGTTTGTTTATTTCCAAACGAATTCAACAATTCATCATTCGCGTCATCCTTCCAATCATCGAATGTTTTATAATTATTTGACATAAATCTTAATCGCATAATTTCTCTTTGTGTCATCGGTAAAGGATCTTCATAAGGCCGGGGATCACAGCAAAGGCGACCACAATAACAACATTCGACTGTTTTCTTATCCCTTTTTTGCAGGTATTCATCAGGGTCACGATAGACAAATTCTTCAAGTAAACGTCGTCGGTGTAGAGGTGTTAAATTCTCAATAATATTTCGGTACTTGGTTAATCTGCTTGCCTCGTCGAAACAAACAGGCGTATACTTGAACTAATAGATATAAAAATAAATTTAAAAGCAATCAGCGCTTACATTGTTCAACTTTGGCGGATTACAGTCACTTTCAGACGGATGCCAATCCATTCTACGCAGTCCACTTTCATCATGTTTCCACAGTCGAAATGGTTCCAGCGGTTTCTTTACACGGCTAAGATCTTGTTTAAAGTGCAGTCGATCACTTGGTTTATCTAGTTCGCCTATTTGTGGTGCCTAAAATGAATGATATTAATGGGCTATTTAGGAGTATTATTGTAAATAAAACTGACCCATTCAGCGCATTTAAAGTACGTTGATGGATGATACCCAGGTAGACAAAGCCATTTAGCTTTTTCTTCATCCGTACACTCATTCGGATCATATTTACAATATTCATTAATTAATCCTACTCGGTGAGAAGTCATTTAATACGAGAAATATTGATCACTTATTTATTGATCGGATTATTTTAATATATATTAGAATTGTGAAGTTATACATTAATACCACTAACTAATATACAAAATGTACTGTATAACAAACTTTGATGAGTGAAGACGTATTGATTAGTAATTCTTGTAAATCTGCTTAGTCTAATTTAGGATTTATTCACAGGGGAAAGTACAAGGCCTGTTGTCTATCACTGTGATGACGAAATGAACTTTGTTAAGTATGCCGATGATCTAACTATTTCAGTGTCTGTTAACTCCTAGCCAGCTAGACTGTACTAAGATGAACAGCTTTCTATCAGGAATTAGCAAATGGTCTTTGTCTAACGGCCTTAAACTAAATCCTCCCAAATATCACACAGTTAGTTTCAGTTTCCGATGTGAGTAAAAGAAAGTTAAATGATGAAGCTGTTGGTTCCTATGACCGTTGCAAAATTGATGATACTGATATAGAAATCAAGTCTGAAGTTAAGTATCTTGGATTAATTCTTTCTACTGACCACCTATCCTGGTCTTCCCATGTCTTAGCGATTTCTAAAAGAATATTTCGTTTGACTTTTTACATTAAGAAGTTAAGGCACTCAGGCATAACGCAACCAATGCCTCCTCTTACAGTTTGTCAATTTGTGCATCACCCCTGCTTATTCTCTCCTGGATTGCTTAAAAAAGACTTCGTAGAACTCTGAAGACTGTCAGTCAGTTAGTAGGGCGAGTGGTATCCAATTGGGCCATATCGTTGACATTGTCACTGATAGGCATTTAATGTCACGCAAGAAATTTGCTAAAGGAATTTTGTCAGACTGTAAGCAACCACCGCAGCACCCACAGCTCCATCCTTGTGTCTCCTCAGGTAAAACAAGAAGTCTTTCAGAAGACTTTATGCACGTACGTCCAAGTATAAAAATTCCACTATATTCCACTATGTTCCCTTATCTTTCAGTTTTTTGTTCTATTATCTGTGTGTGTAATTTTTTCTCTTTACGTTCATTCAATTCATCCTATTTTTTCAGTTATAAAATCAGTTATTTTAAGTTTATTCCCATGCTCCTTCTGATCACACTTGTAATCCGTTTAGAATAACCATTTTACAATTATATTCTAATCCTGTGTAATTTTTTTTATTTGTATGCCTCTTGTAATCTATATTCACACCTCCTAACTTACATTTCAAGTTGAAAATCTTGATCTCAATTTGTTTCCATGCTCAGTTTGTTCACACCTGTAATTCGTTCTAAGCCCCTTGTAATTCATATCAAGTTGAAAACAATTATCACCTTTTATTCGCCTTGAAAACTATTTCTCCAGTTATCAAATATTAATTTTGCATACGTTGTAACTGTTATCTAATCCTAGGCAACCTTGTCTCTAAGCCCTTTGTAATTTATATTCGTATCTTCAAACTTTCATATCAAGTTGAAAATTATCACCTTCGTTACTATGTGGAATTAAACGAATAAAAATTGTATCCATGTAAAGTTATCTATATAAATGCGATTGTATAGCTCTTGAGAATAAAATCACCGAAAACATATCTTTGCTGAACTTCTTGTTCTTCTCAATCTAATATACCATATTTCGCACGTACTTTATGTGATGAAAATAGTGTTAGGCATGAACTAAGTAACTAACTAACCTTCTTTGCACTACTAAATAAACCATAACCTCCACCCTTACAACATCAACCTTGTTATTGTTATTGTACTTCTTATATCTATAATCCTCTCAATTTTTTGTTTTTATTTTTATTTGTTTATTTTCTCGTAAGTGTGAACATCAATTAAGCTGTGTTATAACTGTGTTAATTTTGTATTTCCCCTCACCATGCTGCTATATCAACAGAACATTAGATTCAATACCCTATAATAACATGCTAAAATTTCCAAACTGCATCGGCAATACTGTTTGAAACAAATTCACTGTTATTATTATTATTATGATTATTACATTTAATATTCTCATTTCGTGCTTCGAATATTTTTGACTTTGTATCGTAAATGTGGACAAGTTCCTCTGGTTAATTTTGTTTTAATTTTATTTATATTTTGAGTAAATCAGATGCAAGGTGTTGTGACAAATGCTGAGAATTCCATTCTGTTTCATAAGTACTGCTTTTGGAATAAAGTAGATTTTACGAGTTGATCACGGACTGATATCAGTTAGAGAACCATTGAAAACCAGGGAGTACTGGACAGCTGCTGTTTCATCCTAGTTTGGGAATCATCGGCAGTACGCACCCACTGGGATTCGAACCTTCCGGTTACAAGGCAAGCTCGTATACCATTCAGCCACTGGGACCCGACTCAATGGCTCATGAATTCTAACTTCTAACAATTCATGATTTAGCGCGACCACAACCATTGTCGTTGGTGGGACATCCATCCATACATGTGACATCTAACTGGACCTCACTGGTCACGACTTCCCACTAGAACTCACTGCAGGAAACTCCATCCTGTAGCAAGTCCCTAGCAAGCATCAGATTAATTTTCTAAAGTTTGGTTTGTAAGGATTTGTTATGTTTTACGAGTTGATCACGGACTGCTTGCCTTGTAACCGGAAGGTCCTGGGTTCGAATCCCAGTGGGTGCGTACTACCGATGATTCCCAAACTAGGATGAAACAGCAGCTGTCCAGTACTCCCTGGTTTTCAATGGTTCTCTAACTGATATCAGTCCGTGATCAACTCGTAAAACATAACTAATCCTTACAAACCAAACTATAGATAATAAAGTAGATTCTTATTATTAATATGTCAGCGTGCTGACTGACTCAGAAGTGAAGAAAAATTACAGTTACACCTAACACAGCTAAAATTAAAACACACAGAATGCCCGTTGAACTAAAGTGTACAGCTGAGAGGACTAAATGGATAAAGTATTTTTGTTTCTACACCGTGAATTAATCACTCCATCAATTCATTCTCAGTATTCTCAGTCACCTTGCATCTAAGTAAGTAAGATAATAATAATTTGCTTTATTCCATAAACAGTACTTGTGATACAGAATGGAATTCTCAGCATTTTTACTACAGTATTGCATCCAGTTTGTACATTATCAATAAATAGAATTCTACATAGTTAAAGGAAATCTCAGTTCATTATTACAACAACATATTGACATGTCAGTAGCAAAGCCAAAGCTGAACAGTGTTTGAAGGTGTTAGAAAAGTAGGTGCTGTCATATTTACTGGAGTAAGCGAGAGAAAGAAACAAAGCAGCACATAACGGAAAAAAGAGAAAGAGAGAGGGGATAGGAAAAGAAAGAAAGAAAATGTTGTACCTATAAATGATATGAGTTCGAAAGACGAGATCCAGTTGTACTAGTGACTATTTAATGAATTATAGGTGTCACGCCTAATGATTTCCTTATCGCACAGAACACGAGCTAAGTAGGGTATGGTTGAGTTTTTGTACTTACTGGTGCGAGCATATAGTTTCCTATTTAGGCTTCTGGTTTTGCCTGATGAGATGCAAGGGGAGAGTTGTGAATGAACAGGGTGGTGTGAGTTAGATAAAATGGATTTGGCCCATTTTGCATATGAGTCCATGTGCCTGTCAAATAGAATATTAACAAGCTGGTTAAGCGGCACGTTGCTTACCCTGATGAAAACCTTTAACATCCTGTTTGCAGGTCACTCTAGGTGAGCATAAATTGTACCGAGGACTGTACTGAAGATAAAATATTGAAAATCTTAAAATTACCCTGCTACAAAATGATTGTCCTACCAGTTTTCTAAAAAGAACTAGTGAAATTAGGCCGGATACATGGAGTAAGAAAAAGCTTTATTTATCAGTACATTTCAAAGGAGTTATATCTAGTGATCAACTGAAAGAACTTTCCTTGCTGCAGAACAAAGAAGTCAGTTTCTCAACCAGACCGGTCGGTCGGTTTTCGACATAGAACTCTGCACATATGTGCACCAGTTCAAGTCGCCACACTCCATGCAGCACACAAAGGAAGAGAAGAAAGGAGGAGAAATGCATAATAGAGACAGTAAACAGAGGTGTGAGACAAAGGAATAGTAATAACGGAGAACAAAACAGTTTCATTGGAAATCATAAGTCACAAGGAGTGGATGCATCTGCGCCACTGAGAACGATTTTGATCCATATCACCAATTGTTTCCAACCATTGGTTTTTCCGTCGAGGACCCCAAGCAGTCACGAAGCCAGTCTACACCTTCCTAAGTGGCTGGCTAGCTGGCTTAAAACTAACTGTTTTGACATTTCATCCACCATCTACCAAAACTAATTTTTTCTATAAAAGGGGAACTTATCTAGAGAGATAATTTTTGTGATTTGAACGTGAAGTACCACACTTCATCTTTCTAATCAGAGGTCGGTGTAGTCCAATCCTGCAGCATCAACCAACCAATACTGACAAATTTCACTAAAGAGAAATTAACCAACAATGGCTAAATCAATGTGTATACAAATTCATCTGCTCCTAAGGAGGCAGTTGCATAGGTCCTACTCAGAAGAAGAATTTACCTTTACGCACTCGTGAACATGTTTCAGTTTGGTATGAAAGAAAAGGATAACCAAATCAATAAACCGTGCTGTTTTACGTCATCTAATGGATAATTATTATCGCTCATGGAAGACAAGTGGTGATTCAGTCAGCGAAGAGACTCTTTTCAACAACGAATTTATCATCAAGCTGGACAGTCGTATATACACATATGGTTTTCTTCAAGAAGTTATATCCGGTGAACGAATTGAATCATAGGTGTGAATGCATAAAATAATAATAATAGTAGTATGAAATGCAATTAAAACTAAAATGTTTGTGATTATAATCATAGTTAAATGTCAAGTGGAAAAACAATTAATGTCAAATATATAGAATAATTCATAGGATGGATAGAACTTGAATAGGGTGTGCAATTATAAGATTAGTAGACAAATCGAATGAAATAAAAACGTTACGTAATATTGTGTGAAATTTAATCGCATAGAATTTAACGTTGTAAAAAAG